CACACACACACACACACACACACACACACGCACACACACACACACACACTTGTTTGGGTCTGGCTACGCCCCTGCCTGTGTCTAGAATAGACAGACAGGACGAGTCTCTAATATAAGAGAAAAGAGTGAAAAAAAAAATTTCCACCACTTATACGACCTGTAGTGCGACCTGTATTACGACCTGAAATAAGAAATAATGATATTAGCTAGCCTTTGAAAGCGGACCTGACTGCTTGAGTAATATTATACACTTAATGTCTGCTCCCGAGGGAAATAGTTGAGATTCGACACATTGTCATTGAGATTCGACGGAAAACAAAACTATTTCTCGAGGGAACAGACATTAAGCGTTTTGTTATATGTATAGCGACGAACAAAAATCAACATTCAACAACATTCATACAACAATTGTATATATTCGTGACAAAAACTCTATTTTTGCCTGTTGTGTATTTTTCTTCTCTTTTACATTCTTTATTTGAACACAAACTTGGAAAGTCGTATAGTTTCTATAATTATGCTAGTTGTGCCGCCATTTTGTTATTTATGTACGTAAGCCGGTTTGGGGCGCCAGGGCGGGCAACAATTTTTCACTTGTTGGTCGGCGGGATACATTGCATTTATCTGAAGTCACGTGACCACAAATCAGCCAATCACGTTTGGTGTTCACTCTAGCTATATAACAATAATGCTATATGTTAGGGCGAGACGGTTCTTATATCAAAAAACCAAAAATCGGCTGAAAAAACCAAGTGAGTCGTTTTTATAGTGACTCATTATAGTGACACCGTTTTTATATAGTGACACCGATGTGACCAGAGGCTCTTCTCGCCTCTCGTTTCTTTCGCCTCTCAAAGCGCCTCTGGAACCAGGGTATCTACTATGTTATGGCACTATCACACATGAGATTTCTTTGTGAAACTGCAACGCAAAGTCAAACCAATAAAGGACTTAACATGCCCATGTCACGATGTACACGTTTTATTTGATTATGTGGAAATATATAAAATAGCTTTTCTGTGCTAAGCGAACATCGGTTAAATTGTTTTTTAAACAGCATCGTGTTTTTTTGTTTATATATTAACAGCCTCACCCTACTATATGTTAGGTAAATAGATTCATGTTGGGTGAAGAGTGCTCAAATTTTCTTGCTATCTCGGAATAAACTCGCACATTTTTCGTATATTTTTGTCACATCTCGCGTATCGAGACTTCTCCTATAAAACCTTATTCCTGTCATTTCGTTAGCAAAAATAACCGTTATTCTATTCCAACTAGGCTCAATGAAACTACCTTCAAGAATACCTACATACCATATAAGGACTGCACACCCTTGATATCATCACGATGTAGTCTGAAGTTCGGTTTATATCCATTATAATCAGGCCACATGATAGATCCTCTGACATTCGAGTGCTCTAAGCTAGCCAATCGCGTGTCCAATCTCGTGTACAGCCACGAACAGCAGGTCAATTCCAGGTCGTCCATTTACGATATCTCCATTGACGCTATAATCTTCATCTTCGTCGAAGTGGATGCGGCCGTCTGAGGGGATGAACGCATGCGCTAAAACGCCATAACGCCCATCAAATGGGGCACTGTCTCCGTGAGATCGTCTTGCAAACCTGGAAAGCCAGAATACATACAGTAAGTTTGAGGTTGGGCAAGGCGGTAGTTTTTGTACTATTTAAAACACGAGTAGGAGTGTTTTATCAGATATAAAACGCGAGGCGCAGCCGAGCGTTTTACTGATAAAACACGACAACGAATGTTTTGAATAGCTTAAAATACGACTACAAAAGAATACTAATCAGGATGAACCTTTATACAATCATGCTAATTAATTAGGATGAACAATTATATAATGCCACATGTGTTTTATCAGATATAAAGTCACTCCACGTGACATATTATGGCTGACATGATTTGCCACAAGGTTTATGAATTATTAATGAGTATTTTAAGAGTTTGTAAGTCACTTCCAAAATTGATATTTCTGAATTTTAAAAAATTGACCATAATTCTCGCAACATGAATTAAAAAGTTATAGATGGTCCCGGAATTAAAAAGTTATAAATGGTCCCGACTCTAAAACAGGAGTTAATTAATAAAGCATGTGATTCTCTTCACACACATCAATTGTAATTTTTAGTGATGTTCTCCATGGTTTGATTACCTTTCATGCTCTGCCCTTCATGGATCTTGGGGTATATAATCTGACTCGTCCCAATTAGTACATACATCTATACTGATACGAGTCAGAGGTATAATGTAATTTATTGTATATACACGATAATACAAATAAATTTCGACTTACCTGATTGTAAAATCACTCCTTCCGCTTATTACTTCCCTAAATCTAAGGGGTGTCACTGCACTCCAGTATGCAAACGCCTTTTTAAAAGTGGCTTTCATTACATATCTGCTCACATCCTCCGATTCTGATAGGAAGCGATACGTTAAACTTGTCTTACGCCACTTAGAACCGAAAATCTTAAATGCTTGCGCGCCGCTTCTTCCAGTGTCATATCGACCCTGTCAGGATTACCACAACGAGGCTTCAGCATTTCGGTTTCTGATTCTACACACCAATGACCACAGACAATGGAAATCCCCGATTCGTACGACCAGTGCGAACCAGGCGTAACTTGCGCTTGTGTACGTACAACAAAATTTCTATATGACATGTTTTTGGTGTAATATAAAACGAAAACGTTCAACGAAAATTTTGCCAAGAAAGTTCGAACTTGCCGTTGGAAGGCATTGCAGTTTTAAAACAACAAGTTAATTTACTCTTCATTGCCTGATACCGTAAAATTTTTCTTTGCCTGGCGTTTGCCGTTTGCCGTTTGACGTATAAACGCGAAACTTAAACCCTCTGGCGTCACTGTCTGGAAATGTAAAGCTTAAAACTCCCTATAGACAAAATTGGCAAAGTTGCTTATAAGCTTATATATAAGCTGTTATATACAGCTAATTCAAAAAAGTTTGTCCTTTGCAAACCTGAAGCCAGTTTTCTCCTTCAACCGTATCGTAACGTACCGTAGCATTTTCTTTTGTGTCGGAGTCATTAGTTCCACACTACCGCTCAGGAAACAAAGAAATACGCTACGTTTCGGTACGATTGAAGTGGAAAAATGACTTTAGACTCTAAACCTTAAACCTTAAACTCTAAGCGCGCAAAGCTTAATGGGAGCACAAGTTTCCAGCTTAGTAGCTGAATATTGCAGCTATTTATGAATGAATTGTTCTCGCGTAAGGAGATATTTGCCATGTCTCTAAGAAATGGGCCCCATATATGTTTTCTAAACTGATTAAATGATACTCCCATTATGCTTTGCACGCTTAGAGTTTAAGGTTTAGAGTTTAAGGTTTGCAAAGGACAACATTTTTTGAATTAGCTATAGACCCTTTTCATAAATGGCTGCCGATTAAAAATTCTTTTATGTGCATATAAATTGGCCCAACTAGCCTAGTTTCTGGGTAGAAATTTCTTTAAAATCTTAACATGAGTACGAGGCTAGTTGGGCCAATTTATATGCACATAAAAGAATTTTTAATCTGCAGCCATTTATGAAAAGGGTGTATATAAGTCTGTGTCTACAGGCAAATTAAACTTGTCATTTCACATATGAAAACTTGTCAAAGACTCGTCGTTGCTCGTCTGAAACCGGCTTTACTGTGTAGATTTGAAGTTTTAAACCACATCCATTATATGTACAAGGCCAAGTCGCCAAGGACTTTTTAGGAACTAGCCAAATAAATCATTAAACAAAGCAATAGGTTATTTTAGGCCCATTTTATATGTCGAATTTCGGTCACGTCGAATGCAATTAAGACAATAGATAATAAGATGATAAACCTCATTAAGCTTCATTATCCATTGTTTGAATTGCATTCGACGCGACCGAAATTCGACGTAAAAAAATAGGCCTTAGAGTGAATTTCGTACGCGTGTGTTGCCATAGCAACGGACTATGTGTTACCAAAACTGACATAATTTGAAAGAAGAAATATTAAAATAGACGAACATCTTGTTATCTGCTTCATAAAACCTAAAAATGCGACGTTTAAAACAGCCAAACTGTTGTACACCTTTTTGAAAATTGTATCGAGCCACCTTGAATGCCATATCTTTTTATTTGATTTCCTGTGGAGTGCCATACCGGTAAAGCTATATTGGAAATAATGTGGGGTAGGTCACAAGTGCACTCCCCATGTAAATCGCTTTCATTTGCACTTATAACCCTCATCCTGTTACAAATGCCGCATTCCACACTATACACTGACTTTTGTACTTTTTTCTGTATGTATTAAATATTGGAGTACATGTACAGCCGAATAAGATAGTTTTGGATTGATAGGAATACAACTACATGAAAAATACAAGGAGAAGTTGACGTTTCGAGCGAGGGCCCTTCAACGGGAAGATAGTAGCCCTACTAATTTTCCGATGAAGGTTTGCACGAAACATCAAAGTTGAAAGTTCTCCTTGTATTTTTGAGGTAGTTGCATCCCTCATCAATACAAAACTTTCTTATTATTGCCACTATATAACCATGGATAATAAAATAAATGGCATTTTTGTTGTTTCGCTATACTTTCCGCTTTAAAGAGTAATATTGAAGCATATACTGGTCTAATTGTTTTAAAAACATGCCTAAGCCACGACAAAGTATTCAAGGTAAATGTATTTCGTCTTTGTTTTGTATTTTTTTACATTTGTAGCTACGAAATTGGCGTCCCCAATTTTAACGAAATTTGGGATGCCTTTTTCACTGTTTAGTGCTTGAAATATTTGCTAAAAATTGACTGGGAATACTCAGAGATTTCATCGTAGAATGGTGTAGTTATATTCATTTGCTCTTTGAGGTCCTTTGAGATTGTGTAGAACATCCACTTAGGGAGCGTTCATACATAATCTAGAGGGGGGGGGGGGGGGGA